AACATCAACAAAGAACAAATTCATTAGAGCGCATTGCAATAAAACAAAAAAAAAACAAAAAAAAAAAACTTTGGCTGCTATCAGTAAATCCGCCAGTTGGCCGCTTATCTCTCAAGCAAGAAGTCGCCAAGGCAACAACAAGCGGCTGCTACTAGAGCATGAAAATGGAGAAGCCATTCTTCCACTAACTACATGCATACATACGTATGTACATATAACGCTAGCCATCCATCTTCTCAGCTGCATAGCTATCCATCTAGCAGACGAGACAATTGCACGGACTGGCATTCAAACCTTCAGCGGGCCGGGCCGCAAGTAATAATCCCAGGCAACCACCCATTCAATTTGTAGCCGGTAATCAATCATCAAAGAAATTTATGAAAACAAACAAAAGCGCTGGTGGATGGATGGCAAAAATCGAGGGAAAGAGATTAAACATTGAAAATACGGGCATGTGTTTGCCCTATGTATGTACTTATATCTATGTACATATGAATGTATGTATAAATGCATACTAGGGTATCCCAGAATATAAGGATATGCATACCCACTAAATTGTTTATTTTTTTTTTTAATTAGGCACACATGTTTTTACTAGATACTGACCCGGAGATCTGGATCTGGAGATAAAAACACGTCACTTTCGTTTGAAACTTGTTTCTTGGGATCGGTATTGAATATTTATCCCACTCGTGAGCATCCGATATATATCTGGCGTCAAAGCAAAGCCTCAGAGAATACTGACGATTTTTAAATTCAAATGGAAGGTATGTGGCAAAAATATTGGCCATGATTTTTTTACCACCAATACTGTTCCATTATTAGGATAAGGTGAATCAAACTACCGTAAAAAGAATAAAAGGCGATCCAATTTTTAACTTGAGGCTATGTGTCACGTGACTTATGGTAGAGGTGCTTTGAACATATGCCATCTATGGGAGATGCTACGACCTCGTGCAAACTCTCCTCCCTCTTTACTTTACAACAGGGCATTACTTTTAGCTGTCTATTCGTAATGGTTCCAACGCCTATGGGAGGTGCCACACCCCTTTGGCAGAGCCCATTTTTATGCCCTATGTCTCCAGTTAAAGCCACTTGAAAATCCATTCAGTAGCTCCGGAGATTAATGAGTTCAAACAGAAAAACGTACAAGCAAACAGACAAAGATTTTAAAAATGGTCAAAATCTATTCTCGTACGTTATTCTAATAAAGAAATTCTCAGTGTGCAGATACGACTTTTCTACAGTTTTATTATAGTATAGATATACATATAAAATTATTGGCAAATAATCCCGGGATGATGGGGATTTGTAATTTGCAATGGTGGCAATAATAGAAACGCCTTATATTGACCAGTTTTTGCTATCTTTCTTTCTACATTTAATATTTTTTATAAATGTCTGGCTAATTATAGAATTATACATACACATAACACCGTGCGACAGGCAATTTTACACACAAAAATAACAATATATTCGCGAAGCCATGGGTATCAAATTGAACAGAAAATTCTGTAGAGAAAGAACAGATTAAATGTTTTGGTGCATAAGGTATTGAAAATGCCCTTAAAAATTTTATCTTTGAATGTCCTTGAATTTTTTCAATATTTATGTTGAAATATTATATGTTAAGGACTAATATAAACTCGACGACGTCCTCCAATATAGTCCTTCTAACTTTATTAGCTTAAAAAAATAAAATTGTTTAAAAAGGCTTTTTCAATACCTATTCGTCTTTGTGAACCCAAAAAGTTTTAAATTTTTTAAATCCTAAAGAATTTTCTCTTTCATTTGGTACCAATTTTTATTCTGCACTGCACTGAACTTTTTAAATAATTTTTAGAATTTATCATACATATCTTTGAAATTATAAAGTTCTAGTAAAAAAAATTCTGAAACTATAAACGCAGTTTTACTATATTTGGTCCATACTGAAGTGAGTATACTTATATTGATATAATTTGTTTCAACCTGTTTCAATCATTTTACTCAGAATTTTTTGAAAAATTCTAGGTACGCAATTTTATAAGTATAGCCCATTAAATTACAGGAGGATAAAGTGCAAGTTTCAAGTGACTAAAAGTAACGTTGATTTTTTATACTTTTTTTTGTTGCTGGCGGTGTCACGCATTTTCTTCCATACAAAGTATGTTCGACAATTTGTTTATATGGAAGAAAATGCCCAGCATCGTTTAAAAAATCCCCAAAAATTTACGGCATTTTGTAACTGCATGAAACTTGCATTTTATCCTACTTTAGTTTAATGGGCTATAAAATTGCATACCTCAAATTTTTATAAAAATGCTGAGTAAAAAGTTTGAATTTTGGGAAATTTTTTTGCAGTTTTATTATTTTTGCACAAATTTTGATATGCGCATTTAAATGCATTTAATTATACAAAAAATTGAAATATTAAATAAACAATCGCAATATAGATTAAACTGGTTGAAATAAAGCGTTTATTTTTTTACTGCCACTACATAGTATAATTTATGAATTATTTATGTACAACACAAACATATGAATTTATGTACTTAAGCACTAAGTGCTGATAAGAACCGCTAAAGGATTAAATCTAGTTACATGTATGTATATACATACAAATGTATATTTTATTAACTTAATCACTCTTTTATGCGCTTACATATGTATGCTCATACATATGTACATATGTGCACAATCAGCCAGCAAGTACACATGTTCCTTATTAACTTATGTGTGATTGATACAGTGAACTTAAATATAGATGTAAATACAAAATTTATTGTAAAATATATGTATGTATATTTGTTTGTAAGCATCCGTGGTTTGCAGGGAAGGCTTTCAGAGGCATAAGATAACACTTGCCTTCGATGAAAGAACATTTGTATGTATATGTATATGTATGTAGCAGATATGTATATACATATGTACAGATTAAATAAAAATACACTCAAAGCACGAAACGAAAACCAGTTCAAATATTAAACAAAAACTTGTAAGGGCGAAAAATCTCAGCAAATGTTTTTGAGTCAAATTTTACATGAGTTCAAATATCAATGAAATAAAGCGCTCTATGTTAAAAAAATAACTCATGTTAGTAGGTAGAGTGCGTAAAAGAAATGGTTTTGATAATAACATAAGCGCTCAAATAACCATTTGCTGGCTGCAGTAGAGGCTTCACTCAAAACGAAATTGTACTCCATTATTGCTCTACGCGCAAAAACCCATGTGTACACGCTCACATTCTCAACTTATACTCACTGTGCTCACAACACTCTCACTCAACCACAAAGCTCACTGCAGCCATGTTTACTCATCTCATCTACTTTTCGGCATGGTATCAACAACCACATTGAGTGCCATGCCATCCATGTCTGACCAAGGAGAGAGTAGATTCCATAACCATTGCCCAGCGCTGGAAATATTCGCTTATTGAAATCAGTTTGTCTTCAACGCGCTCAAACGCTTGTAGTGATTTGAATTTTCTTCTAGTAAATACAAGAGTTTTTAGCAAGAAGCACATAAAATACATGTCTATGTAATACATAAAATAAAAATTTTGTCGCTTTAATTTGATTGAGTTTGTGCACTCGCGAGTGAATAAAGCAAGAACAACAAAAAGAGTATAAATCTCAAACTCAGAGTGAACGCAGCATCTTTTACAGAAATTATCCTCGCTGAGCGGCAAATATCCTTATTTTGAGGAGCCTTACAGCTGAATGAGAAGTGTAATTGTAAGCCACTGAGCTTGTTAAGCAAATAAACAAACGTGTTTGTGTGGGCGTTGTAGGGTGAATTTGAGAAACCTAAAAAAAAATTGCAAAACAATAACACTGCTTTCTGTATCCTTTTGTTTTTTGTTTTATATGTGTGCTGACCTGAGCTTGAAAACGCTTTTAGCGTGAGTGTTGTTGCAAATGCGCGCGCATAATTTAGCTGAGTGAAGTGAGCATACTATTTGTATTAGCCGAAAAATTCATTCGCTGACAAAAATTCGAAATTTTACGAAATCAAAACCCACGACTGT